TATTTTGTCTTTTGCCCTGTCATAGCGGTGGCACAAGCAAATCTTGAATAGGTGTCCATGGTTACATGGACATATTTTAATCTTCCAAAGGTACTGATGTGAGTGACATCCATTTTCCATACCGCATTGGTCTTTAACCCTCTGGGATTTCCCCCCAATGATTGTAACGGGCCAGTAGGCAGAAGTAGACTGCAAGTGGCACAGGAGTGGACAATTCATGATCCCTGTTTTCTAGTGAGCCCAGGGAACATGATTGACAGGCTGTGAGCAGACTGATGGAAATTTTTATGGCTCAGGATAGCCTGTGATGTTACCAAGGCTGAGAAACGTGACACCTCTCCATCATTTAGTTGGTTTCCTTCCAGTAATGGGCCAGGCACGGCCGAGTGAGACTTTATATGTTGATTGTAAAAAGGATCTCTTCTCTTTTTCTAACAAATGTTGTGTTTTACGAATTAGAAAATCTAAAGGGTTTTTGGGGAAGGTCTTTAGCACAGCATAGTATAATCCTTGCAGAAGAGCTGAACAGTGTGAGCTATTGGTAAACAAATTTAAGGGCACATTATGAAAATCATTTAAAGCAATAACTATACTGACTGACTATATAACTTGAGATCCTAAGGTGGTCTCTTTTATTTTTATTATAGGGCCACACCCAACTTGGAATTGAGCCTCATACCCAAATTTGACAGGGCTTCCATCCCTGAATATTAGTGGGGAGTCCGGGATAGCCACTTTAACCACAGGATTTTTAAACATTAATGGAAGCATAATTAACCCTTGAATAATTTCATGATTGGGATAATGATTACCTGGCCTGTATAACACACCAGAGCAAGAACAAATTTAAGATTAACGTTAATCAAATGAGAGACCTCATCCAATTTTAGGGGGAGCACTAGGATCTCTGGTTCCTCTTCTACTACTTGTAAAGTTCTTTTCCTTATTTTTAAAATCATCTTGCTGAGGGAGTCTACAAAGCCTGTAACCTTCTGTTGAGTAATTGTAGAGGACCAGTGGATCCATTCTATAGGCCCATTGACTTGCCACAGGCACCTGAGAGGGATCTGTTATATGAATTAAATACTAACCCTGAAATGGTAGGGAGGGGTCTAATCTGTGCAGGTCTGCACAGGGCAGTTGTCTATTTACATATTCTAGGGCTTCCCCTGCCTGTGGTGTCAACTCCCTAATAGATGTGGGAGAATGCTCCCCCTTCAATAATCAGAAGAGAGGCTCTAGCTCTTTGGTGGTAACTTTTAGCCATAGTCAAATCCAATTTATTTATCCCAACAATTGCTGTAATTCCGCAGGGGTCACCATTTGGGGGAGCAAAATTCGAGAAACCTTTGGAGACACCCCGGTCAAATCTATAGTCATCCCCAGGAAGGATATTGGACACCTTTTTTGGATTTTTTCAGGATTAACCTTGAACCCATTAACTTTTAACAATTCTAGAACCTTTTGAAGGACGTTTTCTAATTGGTCTGAAGACTCACAGGCTATTAAGATATCATCCATATAACAATACAGTTGTAGACATTTATCTGACTTTATAGGACTGAGGGCCTGGGCGACTGCTATCTGGTATAACACGGGGCTACTTTTCAACCTTTGTGGCAGCGCCTTCCATTGGAACCTCATGGCGTGTTGGCTGTGATGGATAACCGGGACTGTGAATGCAAACCTGCACATTCCTGATATTCCAGATAGTGAACTGAAGAGCTCTGCATGCAGGCCTTTAAGAACTTAGGTATTTCGCTGTACAAAAATCACATGTGGTCCATATATATATGCTGTATATGTGAAAGAAAACTCTCCTTTGGAACTGTAGTTTGAGATTTGTTACATACAGAAAGACAAGATAAAGAAGAAATGTGTCAAAAACCAAACCATAACTATTAATTCAAATTGAACACATAGATTATTGATGTAGAATGCAATACCATTTTCATTTGAAGAATACAAATTTCTATATTCAGAAGTATTGAGTAAAATCCAGGGAATGTTGGGGAATAAATAACATTCAATGGATATTTTAAATGTAAGCATAAATTAAGATATAACATTTAATATATAT